CGGATCATCACCGCTGGCCCCGTGGATCACCACTGGCCCCGTGGATCACCGCTGGCCCCATGGATCACCGCTGGCCCCGTGGACCACCACCGCTGGCAGGGAGATCCCTGTGCAGCGTGCGTGACAAACAAGGAGAACGGGCTAGACGCGTAAAGTAGTTCCCAAATGATGAGTTTGTCATTCGAGATGTGGACGATGATGATGATGATGAGTTTAAGGTGACTCAGCTCCCAGTGGCTTCCTCATATCGGAAGGAAGAAGCGTTCCAAACGGCCGCAGCAGCAGCAGCAGCAGGGCGTTGTTCGACACAACCTCGCCGGTGTGACGCGTCGGTGGTCCTAGTCCAGTCACCGATGACTGGACACAATTAACAACGTCACTTAAACATCATACCGTTTGGTTCTGTCGGTAAAGTCACGTAGGTATAAAAATAAAACAAAATAAATTAATGTAAATCACTATTTTATTGCCTACCTACGTGATGACTTTACCAAAAGAACCAAAGAGAATGGATCCCTGCAGTCACGGAAACTTCAAATCGATAATAAAAAATAGTTCCTGCACTTCATTTTGCTGCACTACATGGATAAGAATGTCAAATATCGGTCTCGACTGTGGTGTGAAACATCAAACTTTCACGCGATAGGGCGAGCGAGGGGACGTGCTGCCCTCTGCTGTTGTGAATTATTTAGGGAAAGGGAATCTCAGAGGCAAGCTCTGTCACATTCACTCTGTCACATTCGCTCAGTCACATTCACTCTGTCACAACCACTCTGTCACATTCACTCTGTTACATTCACTCTGTCACAATCACTCTGTCACATTCACTGTCACAACCACTTTGTCACATTAACTCAGTCACAATCACTCTGTCACATTCACTGTCACAACCACTTTGTCACATTCACTCTGTCACATTCACTCTGTCAAATTCACTCTGTTACATTCACTCTGTTACATTCACTCTGTCACATTAAATCTGTAACATTCACTCTGTCACATTCACTCTGTCACAACCACTCTGTCACATTCACTGTCACATCCACTCTGTCACAACCACTCTGTCACATTCACTCTGCCACAAACACTCTGTCACATTCACTCTGCCACATTCACTCTGTCACATTCACTCTGTCACATCTACTCTGTCACAATCACTCTGTCACATTCACTCTGTCACAACCACTCTGTTACATTCACTCTGTCACATTCACTCTGTCACAATCACTCTGTCACATTCACTCTGTCACAACCACTCTGTTACATTCACTCTGTCACATTCACTCTGTCACAATCACTCTGTCACATTCACTGTCACAACTACTTTGTCACATTCACTCTGTCACATTCACTCTGTCACATTCACTCTGTTACATTCACTCTGTCACATTCACTCTGTCACAACCACTCTGTCACATTCACTCTGCCACATCCACTCTGTAACATCCACTCTGTAACATTCACTCTGTCACATTCACTCTGTCACATTCACTGTCACATTCACTCTGTCACATTCACTCTGCCACATTCACTCTGTCACATCCACTCTGTTACATCCACTCTGTCACATTCACTCTGTCACAATCACTCTGTCACAATCACTCTGTCACATTCACTCTGCCACATTCACTCTGTCACAATCACTCTGTCACAATCACTCTGTCACATTCACTCTGTAACATCCACTCTGTCACATTCACTCTGTAACATCCACTCTGTCACATTCACTCTGTCACATTCACTCTGTCACATTAACTCTGTCACATTCACTGTCACAACCACTCTGTCACATTCACTCTGTCACATTCACTCTGGCACATTCACTCTGTCACATTCACTCTGTCACATTCACTCTGTAACATTCACTGTCAAAACCAGTATGTCACATTCACTCTGTAACATTCCCTGTTACAACCACTCTGCCACAAACACTGTCACATTCACTCTGCCACATTCACTCTGCAACATCCACTCTGTCACATTCACTCTGTCACATTCACTCTGTAACATTCACTCTGCCACATTCACTCTGCCACATTCACTCTGTCACATTCACTCTGCCACATTCACTCTGCAACATCCACTCTGTCACATTCACTCTGTCACATTCACTCTGTAACATCCACTCTGTCACATTCACTCTGTCACATTCACTGTCACAACCACTCTGTCACATTCACTCTGTCACATTCACTCTGTCACATTCACTCTGTCACATTCACTCTGTAACATCCACTCTGCCACAAACACTCTGTCACATTCACTCTGTCACATTCACTCTGTCACATTCACTCTGTCACATCCACTCTGTCACATTCACTCTGCCACATTCACTCTGTTACATTCACTCTGTCACAACCACTCTGTCAGATTCACTCTGCCACATTCACTCTGTTACATTCACTCTGTCACAACCACTCTGTCAGATTCACTCTGCCACATTCACTCTGTCACATTCACTCTGCCACATTCACTCTGTAACATCCACTCTGTCACATTCACTCTGTCACATTCACTCTGCCACATTCACTCTGTCACATCCACTCTGTCACATTCACTCTGTCACATTCACTCTGCCACATTCACTCTGTCACATTCACTCTGTCACATTCACTCGGTCACATTCACTCTGCTACATTCACTCTGTCACATTCACTCTGTCACATTCACTCTGTAACATCCACTCTGTCACATTCACTCTGTCACATTCACTCTGCCACATTCACTCTGTCACATTCACTCTGTCACATTCACTCGGTCACATTCACTCTGTAACATCCACTCTGTCACATTCACTCTGTCACATTCACTGTCACATTCACTCTGCCACATTCACTCTGTAACATCCACTCTGTCACATTCACTCTGCCACATTCACTCTGTCACATCCACTCTGTCACATTCACTCTGCCACATTCACTCTGTCACATCTACTCTGTCACAATCACTCTGTCACATTCACTCTGTCACATTCACTCTGCCACATTCACTCTGTCACATTCACTCTGTTACATTCACTCTGTCACATTCACTCTGTCACATTCACTCTGTTACATTCACTCTGTCACAATCACTCTGTCACATTCACTCTGTCACATTCACTCTGTCACATTCACTCTGTTACATTCACTCCGCCACATTCACTCTGTTACATTCACTCTGTCACATTCACTCTGTCACATTCACTCTGCCACATTCACTCTGTCACAAACACTCTGGCACAACCACTCTGTGCGGGTCCATTCTCGACCAGCAAGACCACGGTCGCGACAGCACCGCGGGAGGAAATCCATCCACTCAATCGGCGTAGCGACAGCGTCCCTGAAGGTCTTCGTATCCAGACGGCGAAGGGTCACGGCGATGGGACTGCTGAGACTGCAAGAGGCAGGCCTTGCGCAACAGCCGAGCGATCCGGCACAAGGAAGGAAGCGACGGCGAGGTGCTGGTGGCGTCTCGCCCTTGACCTGGGCCACGCTTTGTCGCGTTTGCTCTCGAGGCTTCTCGCGAGGGCCAATGGGGTCGCTGCGAGGGCACTCTGTGCATGTAGAGAAGGTTGGCCCGGTGTCCGCTTGTACGGCAGAGTCCTCGCTGAACGCGCATCGGCGCTGGCACCATCACGCGTCACTGCTCTATGCTCCCCGCCCCCGTTATAACGCAGAACGATCCCTCTGTTATAACACGAGACGCTCCTCCTGTTATAATGAAGAACGCTCCCCCCGTTATAATGAAGAACGCTCCCCGCGTTATAACACGGAACGCTCCCCCCGTTATAAGGTGGAACGCTCCCCCCGTTATAACACGGAACGCTCCCCCCGTTATAACACGGAACTCTCCCCGCGTTATAACACGGAACGCTCCCCCCGTTATAACACGGAACGCTCCCCCCGTTATAACACGGAACGCTCCCCCCGTTATAACACGGAACGCTCCCCCCGTTATAACACGAGACGCTCCCCCCGTTATAACACGGAACGCTCCCCGCGTTATAACACGGAACGCTCCCCCCGTTATAACACGAGACGCTCCCCCCGTTATAACACGGAACGCTCCCCCCGTTATAACACGGAACGCTCCCCCCGTTATAACACGAGACGCTCCCCCCGTTATAACACGGAACGCTCCCCGCGTTATAACACGGAACGCTCCCCCCGTTATAACACGAGACGCTCCCCCCGTTATAACACGGAACGCTCCCCCCCGTTATAACACGGAACGCTCCCCCCGTTATAACACGAGACGCTCCCCCCGTTATAACACGGAACGCTCCCCGCGTTATAACACGGAACGCTCCCCCCGTTATAAGGCGATTTCTGAGCGGTTTCTGCGGCGAGCTACTTTCTCTCGAGCCGCAACGCAATGGCACCGCACCTTAATCCCACTCGCGTCTCGCCCAGCTTCATCGCGCTTCTCAGGAACGCAGCCGCTGCCGTGGTGTGAACGAGGACGTCTTTGCTCCGCACCCTTAAAGCAAACGTTTGGGGGACGCGTCTGACAGTGAATCCGCTCGCTGCGAGACATCTGATCTGCGTATCTTTATTGGTACCGGGCACACAGTCTGCGTGGGTGCGTCATCCTAACTTCCGCGCAGCGTCTCATAATCTGCAGTGTGGCACTTCTGTGCAATTCGCATTGTTGAGTGGGTGATGCACGTTAAACGCGTCTTGTAATAATAATGATAGTCTTTTTTGTTTGGGTTAGATCGCTGTGAATGTATAAATGTTGTGTCGTTAAACCCGTCCCACCACCCGACACAGCCAACTAGTAAGGGTTGTCACGTAAACAGGACGGGGCCAATTCTAGATTTGAAGCTTTCGTGACTGCAAGGATCCATACTCTTTGGTTCTATTCGGTAAAGTCACGTCAAAAAAAACCAACAAAAAAATAAAAATAACGACGTTTCGGCCACAACACAAGTGGCCTTCATCAGGTGAAGGGACCAGTCTGTGTTGTGGCCGAAACGTCGTTATTTTTATTTTATTTTGTGTTGTTGTTTTTTACGTGACTTTACCGAATAGAACCACAGAGTAAGGACGTGGCCAATTCGTCACGAGTACAGCACGAACCAGAGCAAATCGACAACATTTACAATCTGAGTACGATGGTTCCGCCGGTGATTACAGCCGGCATCATCAGGTGACAGCCAGATTTGCGCCTCGATCTAACCCCACAAACCTTTATCATGGATGATATTGGTCGTGAGAGCCTACGTGTTAAACTGACGCCCTGCAATCACGACGATAATGCCGAACTATCGGCGAGTATATTTCCAGTCGGCCTATAGAAAACGCAGGCCTCGACAGAGCAACTGCGAGGATTCGTGTCGATGATTGTGTCGCGAACGTCGTTTTTGCCCGCTTGAGATTTGATTTCAATTCTTCCGGCTCCTCTCCGCCTTTATCCGATGTCCACTTCAACAGAGGTGCTCATGACGATGAAGTTCTTGCAAAGACAAACGGACGACGGTGATCAATGATTGCCGACGAGAACATCGATCGCGATGGGTTTTTTGGTATCCCCCCCCACCACCACCACCACCACCTCCGACGAGCACGATTGGCTCCGTAAATGTCCGGCGGTGACGAAGAAGTTCAACGAGCACACGTAAACAATTGAACCTGAAATGTGAATTAGCCTCACGGCTAAGCGGAACAACAATAATAATAATAACGCCACCATCCCGAATCAGCCCGATCTTGTGAGACCTCAAACGGTGAGCAGGGCAATTCGCCTGTGAGAGTGGCCAAGTGGCTTTAGACTAAAGAAGCTGTGTAGCTCAGTCGGGGCCTCAGCTGGTAAAATAAAAAATAGGCAGGCAAATCGGTAGCTCACACACACACACATCCTGGAGTAGAAGTTCAGTGCTGGATACAATCGCATTTGTCAATGTGGTTTGTCACTTTCATCCCTACTCACCAATCGATAGCTCCAATTTGAATGCGAATATTCATTGACGGACTGCTGGCGTGTGTCTCTGTCTTGGTGCCGTCTGGGACTGCCCTTTCTCTCCTTGCTGTTGGTTGCCGCTGTGCCCGAGCTCGCGAATTGGTTTACTTACACCGTTGGAACTTTAAACAACTCATCTGTTTCACGTATTTATGTTGAGGGCCGTCCATGAATGACGTCACGCGATTTTTGGACGATTTTTGAACCCCTCCCCCCCCTTCGTCACACGGCGTCACAAAAAGTCAGAGCCCCCCCCCCCCCCTCAAATGACGTCACAAAGCTCTGCCCCCACCCCCCCGCCAACAAATAAAACATGCTTCAAATGGCTTTAAACTATTGTCATTGTAGTGCGTATTTAATGTGGCGCTGCACTCTGATGTTGTAGGAGAACACATTTATTAAAAAGTCTATTTAAGTAGAACGTGTTGTCTATATTTATTTAAAGTTGCGCATTTTGATGTGACGTCACATTTCTCAACCCCCCCCCCCCTCGTCACACATCGTCACAGATCGTCACATATGTCTGACCCCCCCCCCCCCCTCTAGGTGCGTGACGTCATTTATGGACGGTCCCTTAGCGATTCGCTTCCCTCTCCTACGCTCTGCACTCCGAGTGGTGTTTGTTGTTGTTGTTGTTTGTTGTTGTTGTTTGTTGTTGTAACTTTCTGACCCAGTGCCCCCCCCCTACTGGACATCTGTGGCGCCGTGGGCAGCAGAGGGCAGCGGATCATCAACACCGAACACCATCACCACCTAACATCATCACCTAACATCACCACCTAACATCACCACCTAACATCATCACCTAACATCATCACCTAACATCATCACCTAACACCATCACCACCGAACACCATCACCACCTAACATCATCACCTAACATCATCACCTAACACCATCACCACCTAACATCATCACCTAACATCACCACCTAACATCATCACCTAACATCATCACCTAACATCATCACCTAACACCATCACCACCTAACATCATCACCTAACATCATTACCTAACATCATCACCTAACATCATCACCTAACATCATCACCTAACATCATCACCTAACACCATCACCACCGAACACCATCACCACCTAACATCATCACCTAACATCATCACCTAACACCATCACCACCTAACATCATCACCTAACATCATCACCTAACATCATCACCTAACACCATCACCACCGAACACCATCACCACCTAACATCACCACCTAACATCATCACCGAACACCATCACCACCTAACATCACCACCTAACATCATCACCTAACATCATCACCTAACATCATCACCTAACACCATCACCACCTAACATCATCACCTAACATCATCACCTAACACCATCACCACCTAACACCATCAACTAACATCATTACCTAACATCATCACCTAACATCATCACCTAACATCATCACCTAACACCATCACCACCTAACACCATCACCTAACATCATCACCTAACATCATCACCTAACATCATCACCTAACATCATCACCTAACACCATCACCACCTAACACCATCACCACCTAACATCATTACCACCTAACATTATCACCACCTAACAGCATCACCACCTAACATCATCACCACCTAACAGCATCACCACCTAACATCATCACCACCTAACATCATCACCACCTAACACCATCACCACCTAACACCATCACCACCTAACATCATCACCACCTAACACTATCACCACCTAACATCATCACCACCTAACATCATCAACACCTAACATCATCACCACCTAACATCACCACCACCTAACATCACCACCACCTAACACCATCACCACCTAACACCATCACCACCTAACATCACCACCACCTAACACCATCACCACCTAACACCATCACCACCTAACACCATCACCACCTAACATCACCACCACCTAACACCATCACCACCTAACACCATCACCACCTAACATCACCACCACCTAACACCATCACCACCTAACACCATCACCACCTAACATCATCACCACCTAACATCATCACCACCTAACACCATCACCACCTAACACCATCACCACCTAACATCACCACCACCTAACACCATCACCACCTAACACCATCACCACCTAACATCACCACCACCTAACACCATCACCACCTAACACCATCACCACCTAACATCATCACCACCTAACATCATCACCACCTAACACCATCACCACCTAACACCATCACCACCTAACATCACCACCACCTAACACCATCACCACCTAACACCATCACCACCTAACACCATCACCACCTAACACCATCACCACCTAACATCATCACCACCTAGCATCATCACCACCTAACATCATCACCACCTAACACCATCACCACCTAACATCATCACCACCTAACACCATCACCACCTAACATCATCACCACCTAACACCCAACACCCGCCATCCCCGCACTGACCAGAGTGGTGAAGTATGGTCAAGTATCTCTCGCAGCATGCACGGCGTAGGGAAGCGCTCGTCCAGCAGTGGACAATTTGTTGAGTATCCACAGTGACCAATCGCTGACGTGATGGTGTGGGGAGCGGTGGCGCAGCGGTTAGCGCGCTGATCTGCGCTGCCAAACTCGGTCGACCCGAGTTGGGTTACCCGCTCGTGGCGAAATATTTGATGAGGGCCTTGGGCCTCCCCTAGGTCGACTCAGCCTTAACATGAGCATCCGGTGTGATGCGTCAACAACAACTTCACAGTTGCACGCGAACAGCACTTGGCCCAACAGGTCAGCAGGCTATCCGGGGGATCTTTGCCTTTGGTGACGATAGTGGTGGTCACGGTGGCTCTGGTGTTTGGGATGTATCGGTGGCGGTGGTTAATGTGATGGTTAGGATAGATGCGGCGTTATAGTTATGCTGACGATCATGACAATTCTATTCGTGCTGCAGCTGCTGTGAACGATGCCGATAACTCCTGTATGTTATGCTGAACTTCTTTCGCACCGTACGTAGCCAACCGTGCTAATCGCAGGTGCGGGGTGAGGGGGGTACAACACACTAACACAAAGAGCAGTTCTACAGGAATTGATGCTGCTACTGCTACTATTGGTGATGATGAGGATGATGCCCTTTCTGCTGCTGCTGATGCTACTGCCAATGCCGCTGCTGCTGATGATGGAACTTCTGCCGGTGTTGCTGATGGTGACGATGGTGCTGATGATGATGATGAGACTTCTGGTGGTGTTGATGGTGCTGCTGATGATGAAGATGGCGATGAGACTTCTAGTGGTGCTGATGGTGCTGCTGCTGCTGATGATGATGAGACTTCTGGTGGTGTTGATGGTGCTGATGATGATGAGACTTCTGGTGGTGTTGATGGTGCTGATGATGATGATGAGACTTCTGGTGGTGTTGATGGTGCTGCTCCTGATGATAATGATACTTCCAGTGGTGTTGATGGTGCTGCTGATGATGATGAGACTTCTAGTGGTGCTGATGGTGCTGCTGCTCCTGCTGCTGATGATGATGATGAGACTTCTGGTGGTGCTGATGGTGCTGCTGATGAGACTTCTGGTGGTGTTGATGGTGCTGATGATGATGATGATGAGACTTTGGTGGTGTTGATGCTGCTGATGATGATGATGATGAGACTTCTGGTGGTGTTGATGGTGCTGATGATGATGATGATGAGACTTCTGGTGGTGTTGATGGTGCTGCTGATGATGATGACGATGAGACTTCTGGTGGTGCTGATGATGATGATGAGACTTTGGTGGTGTTGATGCTGCTGATGATGATGATGAGACTTCTGGTGGTGTTGATGGTGCTGATGATGAGACTTCTGGTGGTGTTGATGGTGCTGCTGATGAGACTTCTGGTGGTGTTGATGGTGCTGATGATGATGATGATGATGAGACTTTGGTGGTGTTGATGCTGCTGATGATGATGATGAGACTTCTGGTGGTGTTGATGGTGCTGATGATGATGATGATGAGACTTCTGGTGGTGTTGATGGTGCTGCTGATGATGATGACGATGAGACTTCTGGTGGTGCTGATGATGATGATGAGACTTTGGTGGTGTTGATGCTGCTGATGATGATGATGAGACTTCTGGTGGTGTTGATGGTGCTGATGATGAGACTTCTGGTGGTGTTGATGGTGCTGATGATGATGAGACTGCTGGTGGTGTTGATGGTGCTGATGATGAGACTTCTGGTGGTGCTGATGGTACTGATGATGATGATGAGACTTCTGGTGGTGCTGATGGGGCTGCTGATGATGATGAGACTTCTAGTGGTGCTGATGGTGCTGCTGATGACGAGACTTCTAGTGGTGCTGATGATGATGATGATGATCAAGAGAGGCGGGATGGGCGCCGTGGAAGGAACTCCGCCGGCCTCACCTCCGCAGCCGTCACGTCCACGTTCGCCAGCTTCACTCTCCCCACGCCCGGCACCTCCACGCCAGCCGCCAGACGTTCTGCGTCGCACAGACGCAGCCACAGGGGACGATGCACCGCACGCTCTCGTCACCGGAAAACCACGCTCGCTCGCGGGGGACAGCCTCGCCGAGGAGTCTCAAGGCTCCACTGCAGGAGCGTCCTGCCAAGGGCTCGCAGTCGGGGGCTATGGTGCTGCTGCTGCTGTGTGATGTCAATTGGGTGATTCGCAGGCAATGTTTTAGCATTGGACATGTTTTTTTAGCAGGTAACAGTGAGCACAGTGTGCGTGCCTGAACCACGTATGTGCCTGAATAACGTGCGTGTGTGTCTGAACCATGTGCAGCCCATGGGCTTGTAATTACCAACACGCTGTTCCAGCATCGGCACATCCACACAACATCATGGATGCATGCCGGGTCCAAGCAAGAACGTCTGCTGGACTACATAGTGACGGACCAGCGGATGCGAGCCCATGTCCTTGACACCAGGACCTACCGTGGAGCTGATTTGCCCTTTGACCATCGACTTGTCATCTGTAAGATGCGCCTGCCATTCTTCCACTCCGGTGGTGGGTGTACACCCAGGACCCCATTCCAACCTAAAGTGGCCTGGTCTCAGCTAGCTGATGGAAGTTGCAAGCGAGAATTTCATAATCGCTTGCGGCTGGGGTTGGCATTGTCCCCCACTCCTCCTGATGTCGAGGGTAAATGGGCGAGGTTTAGGACTGTGACTTATGCAGCTGCAATGGCTGCTTTGGGTACGCGGTCCAGACCTCCCCAGAGACCCTGTCTGACAGAGGAGGTGTTCAGGGTGGTTGAGAAAAAGCGGCAGGCCCACTCTAATCGTCTACAACATCCCACGGCAGAGAATGAGGAGGCTTACCGCAGCCTTCGCTCGGAGGTTCGGAGAGCCGTGAGGCACTGCAAGGATGAGTGGTGGTCGCGGATTGCTGAGGAGATGGAGTCTGCCTCAATGGCCCGCGATCACAAATCCCTATTTAACTCCATTAAAAAAGTAACCTGCAGCGCCACACCTATTACCATCATCATGGGAAATAACGGTGATCCAATCTCCGACCCCCAGGAACAGGTTTGCAGATTTGCTGAGCATTTTTGTGAGGTCCTGGAGGAGGGGAAATTCCTCAGCCTGGAAAACATCATGAGGCTGCGGTGCCTCAAATATTGGAAGAAGTCACCCCCTGTGAGTGGCTGGCTGAGGTGCCATCTGTTGAAGAAGTATTGAAGGCGATCCAGAGTCTGAGACCAGGAAAGGCACCGGGCAGAGATGATCTCCCAAGCGAAATGCTGAGGGTGGCGTATGTGCGCAGACTGCCCTACATGACATCATAACAGTCTGGGCCACTGCACGGATTCTGCAGGATTGGAAGGATGCTCTGGTGGTCCCCCTCTTTAAGAAGGGGGACCGCACAGACTGTAACAACTACAGGGGCATTTCACTCCTCAGTGTGCCGGGAAAGGTCCTAGCAAGGATTATTCAACATCGCCTTGCTAGGGACGCTGGGGAGAGGCTTGCGGAGCCCCAATGCGGTTTCAGGAAAGGGCGGTCCTGCATAGATGCCATATTTTCTGTCCGTCTGTTACAGCAGAGGTTTTGGGGAATTCCAACAAGACCTACATCTCTGCTTTATTGACCTGGTCAAGGCCTATGATACCATCAGTAGGCCTGGGCTCTTGATTGTTCTTGGTGCTTTCGGAGTCCCTGACACTCTGCTCACGCTCATTAAAGACCTTCATGATGGTGAGCAGGCCCGGGTAAACTACGTGGCCGGGAGTCAGAGCCATTCCCTGTTCACCTCGGGTGCAACAAGGATGTCCTCTGGCTCCTATATTATTTAACATCTATTTTGACCACGTAGTTCGTGAAGCCTTCAAAAGCTGTACCGGAGGAATTTCCATTTGGTACAGATATAATGGAAGGCTGATCGATGCCTGGGTGCGATCAAGGGATGGCTCCCTATTGCTCAACCGCGTTATGTATGCCGATGATCTGGTAATTGCTGCTCACTCAGAGGAGGAGTTGGAGACGCTGCTGCTGAACTTGGACCTGGAGCTTGCCACCAAGAGGTGGGGCCTTACCATCAGCCCCACCAAAACTAAGCACCTGCCTGGGTATTTTGTACCATCGGACACTCCACCCCCACATATACCAATTAGTGATAGGGCAGTTGTGGAGAGAGTGGAGAGTTTTCCATACCTTGGCAGTGTGCTCATCACCGGCTCCGGTTTAGCAACGGAGGTCTCACTCCGAAACAGTCAAGCGGCATTATCTTTTCATCGGTTGCGTAACGCTGTGTGGAAGCTACCTGGTCTGTCGCTCCGCACTAAGCTTCAGGTCTTCTCGGCCACGGTCATTCCCTCCCTTCTCTACGCTTGCGAAACGTGGATCCCCGTAATGGAACATCTTTGCCGGTTAGAAACATTTAGGCTGGCCTGCTAACGATCCATCCTGGGTTAAACCAGGCTGGATTGTGTGAAGAGCTCACAAATCCTTGAAAGATGTGGACAAAGTCCCATCGGTGAGCTCCTCTGGCAGGCAAGGCTGCGTTGGCTGGGTCATGTAGCTCGCATGCCCAGCCACCGCATGCCGAAACAGCTTTTGTTCGGCCGGATCGAGGGGGCTAAACGGGCGCGGCAGGGGCTAGAGAAGAGATGGAGTGATGTGGTACAGGAGCACGTGGAGCTGAGTGTACTTGCCGATGACTGGTACCAGCGGTGTCAAGATCGGCCTCTGTGGAGGAAGCTCGTGAAGGACGTTACTGGGCAGTTGGAGTCAGTCGCCCTCCAACAACAACGGAGGGCGGAGGAGCGACGCTCACAACAACGAGCGGAGCGCCGGGTGGCTAAAGCACAGCAAGTTAGCACAGTAGGGGGCACAGGTGGTGCATAAGCCAGTCATATCAGTCAGTCGACCCGTGGCACCTGGGTCTGCCCCGTGACCTCCTTCCAGCTGGCGTTCGACACTTTACGTGGCCTCAAGGTGCACATGGCCTGGCACAAGCGTCGTGGTGATGTCAACGCCACTTAGTGGCGAATGGCCGTTGTTGTTGTTGAAGCATGTGTGCGTTTGTGCCTGGATAACGTGTGTGTGTGTGCCTGGACCACGTGTATGTGCCTTAACCACGTGTGTGTGCCTGAACCACGTGTGTGTGTGCCTGGACCACGTGCGTATGTGCCTTAACCACGTATGTGTGCCTTAACCACGTGTGTGTGCCTGGACCATGTGTGGATGTGCCTGAACCACGTATGTGTGCCTGAACCACGTGTGTGTGTGTGCCTGGACCACTTGTGTAAGCCTGAACCATACGAGTGTGTGCCTGAACCATGTGTGTGTGTACCTGCCCCACGTGTGTGTGACTGAACCACGTGTGCGTGTGCTTGAACCATGTGTGTGTGTGCTTGAACCATGTGTGTGTGTGCCTGAACCATGCATGTGTGTGTGCCTTAAACATGTGTGTGTGCCTGAATCACGTGTGTATTTGATTGTGCCTGAACCACGTGTGTGTGTGTGTGTTGACTGGAGGTGTTTGCCACTGCATGGGACTCTGTAAGAGACCGGTCCAGGTTCAAGTTGATTTTGCGCAGCCAGGTTGAGAAGTCTAGAGACCAGGGTGGGAGTCTCATCTGCAATATTCAACACAGCACAGGAGCTGCTGCTGTTGCTGCTGCTACATTGCCAGTGGCTGGGGTAGTGACAGGGGCTGGGGTAGTGACAGGGGCTGGGGTAGTGATAGGGTCTGGGGTAGTGACAGGGGCCGGGGCCAGGGTGAAGCAGTAGCAGGATGGTGGTGATGGTGGTGATGGTGGTGATGATGGTGGTGATGATGGTGATGATGGTGGTGGTGATGATGATGGTGATGATGGTGATGATGGTGGTGATGCTGGGCTAGGGGAGGAGAGGCGACGAGGAGTTGGAGTTGCCCGTTGATGATCGTCATCTTATTGCTGCCACCTCTTTGCACTCGCTAAGCAAGTGAGACACGCCACGGTGACGCCTGCTACGCAGGAGGGCGTGGGTTCGATCCCGACCCTGGCTGTATGTTCAGAGTTTGCGTTCTTTCTCTCTCCCCGTGGTCGCGTGGATTTTCACCTGGGTCCTTGGGGGTCTTCTCCCTTCCACGTTAAGAATCAACGTCACGCGTTTGGGGTGTTTGGCTGCCACGCATTTTCACGTGATGATGATGATGATGATCCACTTCATTGAGCCATCATTTGTGATAGCCAGGTCGTTTCTGAAATAGAGCTATGTAGCAGCTGAGTGTGGCCTTACCTGGTAAGATAGATAAAAAAAGAACAGTTTTTGTATGAGAGTTTATTGTCGAGTTCTCACTGGTACCATACCTGTCAGCAGGCCCTTGAGAGAGCTGAGCAGCACGGCATGCGAACTGTGCTGAAGAGTTCCCTCCTACAGAGTGGAGACAATCACAGGAACATCATCATGGCTACGCGCGGTGCGAAATAATTTCCACAGACGTACATCATCAGTATCGTTAATTCCGCGGCAAAACAACCCATCAAAAACAGTCTGAGACCACACACCGAGATAACAACGCAGTCGCTCAATAAAACTTCACATGAGAACATTGAATCATTATCGATGCATGGGTAAGGGTGAAAGTTACAAATTACATTTACAAATGCTGTTGCATCCAGCGCTGATCTTCCGCTTCAGGATATGTCACGATGCCGATGTGGGCAGAAGATACCTGGCCACGTATTTCTATTTTACCAGGTAAGGCCCACTGAGCTGCTAAATAGCTCTTTTTGAGAGGTGACCTGGCCACCAATAACAGCTCATCATCACCTGGACATTCACAGCAGCCAAATCCTGTGAACGCGCGATGATTCTAAATGCGGAGGGGAAAACCGAGGCCTCGGAGCCAAATGCACGCGACCACAGGGAGAGAGAGAGAGAGACGCAAACTCTAAACACACGGCAAGGCGTCGGGCTGCGATGGAACCCACGACCTCCTGCATACCAGGCGAGGGAGACAACATCTCTCGCCACCACGGCACAAGAACCAGTCGCCGAGATGCGGACTAAGCGGCCGGGGGCGGCCGGGAGATCGGGGCCCAATCGAATGAAGACAACCGATCAATTTTAAAGAGTAAGAACAGGTTCAGTGGCCCTTTCTGGCGATAGAAGAGCCGTTAAGATATCATTCATTCTGTCGCAGATTCATCGTCTCCTGTTAGAGCGAGCGAGCAGACTGGGGCGGTGGCGGTGGTGGGGTCAGCGTCGTCACCAGGTCGAGCGAGACGAGCGCGAGGGGCGCCGCGGAGGGCGGCAGGGCGAGGAGGGAGCCACGGACGGACGCCGACGCGGAGACTCCCAGCGCCGACACGGAGAGGCGCGGCGCCGCCGTGGCGTGCAGCAGCAGAGCGAGAGGCGCCGCGGGGAGCGCGCGGGACAGGGGCCCCACCAGCCCGTGGAGCATCTAGGAGGACAAAGTTCCCCACCAGCCCCGTCTAGTCTCAACAGGCTGTCGGGGCAAGCGATGTTCGCGAGCAGCGCCTGTGAAGGTCGGCACCGTGGCACACGACGGGGGGTGGGTGGCCGGCAACCACGCCCGGCCGCCTTTGTCTCCCCAGCGGCGGTGTTTTTACACACCGCCCCAGGTACTCATTTGAGGCGCGGATGCACACACACGCGCGCACGCACACACACACACACACACGTGCACACACACACGCACGCACACACACACACGTACACACACGCACACACACACACGCGCACACGCACACACGCACGCACACACACACGCACACACACACACTCACGCACACACACACACGCACACACACACACGCACGCACACACACTCACGCACGCACGCAAAACAAAAACGAACTCCTCTTTTCCCACTGCACAACCGCGCTACACCGTGTCATGGCTCAGCAGGTGCCCCGCTCTGTTTCCACTGCCAAAGCCGAGCCGTGCCGCTGAGGACACGACACGATGACCATCGTAGTCCATTTAAACGAGTCAAGGATAATCATGGAGCCGCAGCCAAGGAGTGGAACGCTGCCGGTGTGTGGGGGGGGGGGGCGTCCACTGGGTAGATGGAGTGATGGATCAGTTGTGCACCGTGGTAGCGAAATGTTAACTGCCTCGCCTGGTATACAGGAGGTCGTAGGATCGATCCCGAGCTCTTTCTCTCCCCGTGGCCGCGAGGATTTGTCTCCGGTTGTCCCCCTCCACATTTAGAATCAAGGTCACGCGTTCAGAGTATTTGGTGCTGCTATCAATGTCCACGTGATGATGATGATGAGCCGCTGCTTCGTTGGGCCTATCATTTGTGACCAGTTCCCATATGAAGAAAAGCTACACAGAAGCTCAATGGGGTCTTACCTGGCAAAATAATTGGTCCACACCAGAGACGGCTTTATTTTTTGCCTCGCCTCAATTGGTGCTAGGACCAATCAGTTTCAAGGACAATGCATCATATTATCAGAGTGTGTGTTTTTTGTTTGTTTGCATTTTGACCGCAAGTATCGTGGTCAATGCACACGTGATTCCTTGTAAAAAGTTTCACTTTTGTTGCCAGAAAAAAGTGGGCAAACCCTATCATTGTATTAGCATTGGTCGTTAGGGGTTTTAAAGAAGCACTAATGTTCCGACTCATGACACCGCTCACGAAGCGGGGGGCATGTCGGCCCCCCCGTGGGGGTTCTGATTTACAAGTCGAGGAAGCAGCGGAGAGATGGATCGAGGCCCTGGCGTGAGTGGCGGTGTCTGATGGGTTCGCTCGGTCATCATCGCACGGTTTCCCAGCCTGCCGACATTGTGGAGACAGAGAGAGAGAGAGGGAGACCCCTTTACCTCCGGCAAGTAATACGCCACGCTTTGAGCCGTCAGCGGGATCGAGCCGTTGTCTCGCGTCTGCGAAAGGGGAAGGACGTTGAGCTTTAAACAAACAAAAACTCACAAACATGCCCCAGCGTATTCCAAACGTCGCCGTCCGTCAGGTGCACAGTCGTGCGCGACACCACCTCTCGGAGCAAGAGCGGACCGTGTCGGAGAGAGAGAGTGGCCCGCGGAAGTTGACTTCGCAGAGCCGCTTCCGAGAGATCCCTCCAAACTTCTTCTGGTGCACGGCAGGGCGGTGAAGCTCACGTGCCATTGGCAACCAACTTGGTGGGAAACTGCCAACTGTGGCTCTCTCTGAGTGAGCCTGTGGGTGTCTCTCCGTGTGAGTCTGTGGGTCTCTCTCCATGTGAGTCTGTGTGTCTCTCTCTGTGTGAGTCTGTGGGTCTCTCTCTGAGTGAGTCTGTGGCTCTCTCTGAGTGAGCCTGTGGGTGTCTCTCCGTGCGAGTCTGTGGGTCGCTCTCCATGTGAGTCTGTGGGTCTCTCTCTGTGTGAGTCTGTGGGTCTCTCTCCGTGTGAGTCTGTGGGTCTCTCTCTCTGTGTGAGTCTGTGGGTCTCTCTCCGTGTGAGTCTGTGGGTCTCTGTGTGAGTCTGTGGGTCTCTGTGTGAGTCTGTGGGTCTCTCTTTGTGTGAGTCTGTGGGGTCTCTCTCTGTGTGAGTCTGTGGGTCTCTCTCTGTGTGAGTCTGTGGGTCTCTCTCTGTGTGAGTCTGTGGGTCTCTCTCTGTGTGAGTCTATGGGTCTCTGTGTGAGTCTGCGGGTCTCTCTCTGTGTGAGTCTGTGGGTCTCTGTGTGAGTCTGTCGGTCTCTGTGTGAGTCTGTGGGTCTCACTCTGTGTGAGTCTGTGGGTCTCTGTGTGAGCCTGTGGGTCTCTGTGTGAGTCTGTGGGTCTCTCTCTGTGTGAGTCTGTGGGTCTCTGTGTGAGTCTGTCGGTCTCTGTGTGAGTCTGTGGGTCTCTCTCTGTGTGAGTCTCTGTGTGAGCCTGTGGGTCTCTGTGTGAGTCTGTGGGTCTCTCTCTCTGTGTGAGTCTGTGGGTCTCTGTGTGAGTCTGTGGGTCTCTGTGTGAGTCTGTCGGTCTCTGTGTGAGTCTGTGGGTCTCTCTCTGTGTGAGTCTGTGGGTCTCTGTGTGAGCCTGTGGGTCTCTGTGTGAGTCTGTGGGTCTCTCTCTGTGTGAGCCTGTGGGTCTCTGTGTGAGTCTGTGGGTCTCTGTGTGAGTCTGTGGGTCTCTGTGTGAGTCTGTGGGTCTCTGTGTGAGTCTGTGGGTATCTGTGTGAGTCTGCGGGTCTCTGTGTGAGTCTGCGGGTCTCTGTGTGAGTCTGTGGGTATCTGTGTGAGTCTGTGGGTCTCTGTGTGAGTCTGTCGGTCTCTGTGTGAGTCTGTGGGTCTCTCTCTGTGTGAGTCTGTGGGTCTCAGTGTGAGCCTGTGGGTCTCTGTGTGAGTCTGCGGGTCTCTGTGTGAGTCTGCGGGTCTCTGTGTGAGTCTGTGGGTATCTGTGTGAGTCTGCGGGTATCTGTGTGAGTCTGCGGGTTCTCACCGCAGACTCCGTGACGTTGTAGCTCAGGACGCCGGCGCGGAACAGCGAGGCGGCCAGCGAGTTGATGAGTGACTCGGAGAGGGCCACGGTGACCATCGCGCCCGACACCGCCGGCACCGGGACCCGGCCAGCGTCACCCGGCTCGCCGCTCGCGTCGCCCTGAGCGCCGGCATGCAGAAGGGCCATTGCCCGAAACGTCGCCCGTTATCGTGTTATTGACGAGCGCAGAGTGGGTTTGTTGCTGTTGTTGTTGTAACGGAATATCGGTTGAGTGTCGCCCCCTGCAGATGTCGACGGAAAAGCAGCAACGCACTCGACAGCAAGGACAAATGTCCCCCGTATAGTCTTCGACAGGTTGTTGGGGCAAGTGCCGTTTGCGAGTGGCACCCGTGAAGGCGGGCGCGGTACGCATGGGGGCGGTGGGCGGCCAGCACCTCGCCCGGCCGCATTTGTCTCCCCAGTGGCGATGTTTACTACAACACCGCACCAGGCACTCATTTTAGGCTGAGTCTCCCTAGGGGAGGCCCAGAACCGGTTCAGATATTTGTCACCGGTGTTGGCCGTGAGCGACAATCGAACTCGGGTCGCCGGGTTCGTAGCACAGCGCGCTAACCACTATCGCTCAGCACACACAGACACAACAACAACCGCCATTCGCCACTAAGTGGCGGTGACGTCACCAGGACGCTTGTGCCAGCCCATGTGCACCTTGAGGCCACGTAAAGTGTCGAACGCCCGCTGGCAGGAGGTCACGGAACAGACCCAGGTGCCACGGGTCGACTGACTGAGATGACTGGCTGATGCACCACCTGTGCCCCCTACTGTGCCAACCTGCTCTGCTTTAGCCACCCGGCGCTCCGCTCGTTGTTGTGAGCGTCGCTCCTCCGCCCTCCGTTGTTGTTGGAGGGCGACTGCCTCCAACTGCCCAGTAGCGTCCTTCACGAGCTTCCTCCACAGATGCCGATCTTGACACCGCTGGTACCAGTCATCGGCAAGTCCACTCAGCTACACGTGCTCTTGTACCACATCACTCCATCTCTTCTCTAGCCTCTGCCGCGCCCGTTTAGCCCCCTCGATCCGGCCGAACAAAAGCTGTTTTGGCATGCGGTGGATGGGCATGGGGCTACATGACCCAGCCAACGCAGCCTTGCCTGCTGGAGGAGCTCACCGATGGGACCTTGCCCAGATCTTTCAAAGATTTGTGAGCTCCTCACACAATCCAGCCTGGTTAAACCCAGGATGGATCGTAGGCAGGCCAGCCTAAATGTTTCTAACCGGCGAAGATGTTCCATTAGGGGGGTCCACGTTTCGCAAGCGTAGAGAAGGGAGGGAATGACCGTGGCCGAGAAGACCTGAAGCTTAGTGCGGAGCGACAGACCGGGTAGCTTCCACACAGCGTTATGCAACCGATGAAAAGATATTGCCACTCGACTGATTCGGAGTGAGACCTCTGCTGTTAAACTGGAGCCGGTCATAAGCACAATGCCCAGGTATGGGAAACTCTCCACTCTATCCACAACTGCCCGATTGGGAGTTGTGGGGGTGGAGTGTCCGATGGTACCAAATACCCAGGCAGGTGCTTAGTTTTGGTGGGGCTGATGGTAAGGCCCCATCTCTTAGTGGCACGCTCCAGTCTCAGCAGCAGCGTCTCCAACTTCTCCTCTGAATGAGCAGCTATTACCAAATCATCGGCATAAATAACGTGGTTGAGCAATAGTGAGCCATCCCTTCACCGCACCAGGGCATCGATCAGCCTCCCATTATATCTGTACCAAATGGAAGGCTTCACGAACTACGTGGTCAAAATAGATGTTAAATAATGTGGGAGCCAGAGGACATCCCTGTCGCACCCCAAGGTGTACAGGGAATGGCTCCGACTCCCGGCCACGTAGTTTACCCGGGCCCGCTCACCATCATGAAGGTCCTTAATGATCGTGAGCAGAGGGTCAGGGACTCCAAAAGCACGAAGAACAACCGAGAGCCCAGGCCTACTGATGGTATCATAGGCCTTGACCAGGTCAATAAAGCAAAGATGTAGGTCTTGCTAAAATTCCCTACACCTCTGCTGTAGCAGACGGACCATAAATATGGCATCTGTGCAGGACCGCCCTTTCCTGAAACCACATTGGGGCTCCGCAAGCCTCTCCCCAGCGTGCCTGGCAAGGTGATGTTGAATAATCCTTGCCCAGGACCTTTCCTGGCACACTGAGGATTGAGATGCCCCTGTAGTTGTTAGTCTGTGCGGTCCCCCTTCTTAAAGAGGGGGACCACCAGGGCATCCTTACAATCCTGCGGAACCCGTCCAGTGGTCCAGACACACATACACACACACTCAGGCTGTCCTTCAATTCACTGCTAAAGCATCTCATCCAGCAGTGGACAGAAGAATGGCATTATTCATTTCATTTTACAAGTTAACTGTGATCCGTTGTTCTTCACGTATACGAATAATACAACACAAAACTTGAGCTGTAAACTGACCTTCAGATAGAGGTGGACTCCATTGGATTGGATGTCGGGATCACGTAGGAGTGATAGGTCCAGAGTGAGACTCGAACCCAGGACAGGCACGGTGACTGTGACGGGAATCATCATCAGCAACATCAACCATGGAATCATCATCATCTTCAGCATTAACCATGAAATCATCAGCATCATCATCAGCAACATTAACCATGAAATCATCATCAGCAGCAACATTAACCATGAAATCATTATCAGCAGTAACATTATCCATAAAATCATCATCATTATCAGCAACATTAACCATGAAATCATCATCATCATCAGCAGCAACATTAACCATGAAATCATCATCACCAACATTTACCATGAAATCATCATCATCAGCAACATTAACCATGAAATCATCATCATCAGCAACATTAACCATGAAATCATCAGCAACATTAACCATGAAATCATCAGCAGCAGTAACATTAACCATACCATCATCATCAGCAGCAGCAACATTAACCATGAAATCATCAGCAGCAGCATTAACCATGAAATCATCATCATCATCATCAGCAGCATCATTAGCCGTGAAATCGTCATCGCCATCTCAATTAGAAATCATAATTCCATTTACGAAACATTACCCCTTAATTTCCAATCATTTTAGCCACTAATGCGGATAAAAGTGTATCACGCTTTTTATTCTTCACGCATCGATTACTGCAATGCCTTGCAATGTGGAGCTTCCAGTCCAGTACGCGACCCTAGTCCAGTACTCTGTTTACTCCAGTCCGGTTCTCTGTCAGCACCTATCCGGTATTCTGTTGACTCAAATTTGGTACTATATTGACTCCAGTCCGGTTCTCTGTCAACTCCAGTCTGGTTCTCTGTCAACTCCAGTCCGGCTCTCTGTCAACTCCAGTCCGGTTCTCTGTCAACTCCAGTCCGGTACTCTGTCGACTCCAGTCCGGTTCTCTGTCAACTCCAGTCCGGCTCTCTGTCAACTCCAGTCCGGTTCTCTGTCAACTCCAGTCCGGTTCTCTGTGAACTCCAGTCTAGTTCTCTGTCAACTCCAGTCCGGCTCTCTGTCAACTCCAGTCTGGTTCTCTGTCAACTCCAGTCCGGTTCTCTGTCAATTCCAGTCTAGTTCTCTGTCAACTCCAGTCCGGCTCTCTGTCAACTCCAGTCTGGTTCTCTGTCAACTCCAGTCCGGCTCTCTGTCAGCTCCAGTCCGGTACTCCGGTTATTCCGGCCTGGTACTTTATTCTGGTCTGGCACTCTGTCGACTCCAGTCCGGTATCTATCGACTCCAGTCCGGTATCGATTCCGGTCCGTTACTCTGGTCACTCTGGTCACGTACTTTTGTTTGACTCCGGCCCGGTGCTCTTGTCAACTCCGGGTTCCGGTACAAACACCCCGGACTTAAACACGGTTCCGCTACGGGGCCGAACCGAACAAAGAACCGGGCAGAGGAATCGATTTTGCCCGACATGCAACCGGGGAGCGCTAGCTCCGGCGACGATAACGGTGGGAAGGAGTCGTGTCCCCGAGCGGGGTGCGAATTGGCCACTTCTGCCGTCGGGCCCAGACCATCCGTGCCGAGCTTCACCTTCCAGCGTGCTTATCGCGGCGTTCACGTCGTTGTCAACGAACGCCTTGAGGTGCGGGCAGATCTGCGCACAGCACGCACAGGCACCGCAGCGTCACATTCGTCGCCTAACGCGCGCGGCGTTCTTTCGCCGGCCGATGTTACGATCCGCCGCCATTCATTCGTTTGGCCGCGTCGGGTGGTGGAGGGGTCCTGCCACGCAACATTTGAGCCGGACCATGAAGTGGCCTCCCCGCCCCAAATATCGACGGCTAACGGCTGACCCGTGGACATCTTCGCCCCTGCTCGGAGAGCGATGCCCGTTTCCAGGCCAGGTTTGCCGAGGCCACCCGAGTCACCGAGTGCGGCGCAGGTGACATCAGCCACCGGGGGGGGGGGGGGTGCCCTCTCGAACGTGCCAAGATGGGCCGTGACACGCGGCGCTAGGAGGAAGCGTGCCGGTGGACAGGCGGCGCATCAAATCGGACACACCGACTCCACTCAACCTCGGCAGAGGCCATCGAACAATGGCGGCGGTTACCGCCATCGCGTGCCGCTTTCGGGCGCGCTTCTGCGGCCGTCTGGAACGCTTCTTCCTTCCGATGTTAGGAAGCCACTGGAGTTGTGCGCTTTTAAATCACACCCCATTGACAACTCATTTCTTTTGAACTGATTTTTTGAGTGTTTAGTGTTGTTGTTGTCGGAGGGAAGGAGCTCGACTTTATTTAACCAGGCAAGGCCCGCTGAGCTGTGTGTAGCTCTTTTTGCAGAAGCGACCCTGGTCACAAATGATAGCTCAACGAAGTGGCTCGTGGGAATTTATAGCAGCCAAATATTCTAAATGCACGTTGATTCTAAATGTGGAGGGAAACACCAGAGGACCCGGAGAAAAATCCACATAACCACGGGGAGAGAGACACCGCAAACTCCAAATATACAGGCATCAGGGTCGGGATCAAACCCACGACATCCTGTATACCGGGCGAAGTAGTTAACATCTCATAGCCACCGTGGTGCCCCAGGAATGACCGGGCCCAGATGTCGGAGATAATGAGAGGGTGGTGATGATGAGAGGTTGGTGATGATGAGAGGTTGGTGGTGATGATGAGAGGTTGGTGGTGATGATGAGAGGTTGGTGGTGATGATGAGAGGGTGGTGATGAGAAGGTGGTGATGATGAGAGGTTGGTGGTGGTGATGATGAGAGGGTGGTGATGAGAAGGTGGTGATGATGAGAGGTTGGTGGTGGTGATGATGAGAGTGTGGTGATGATGAGACGTTGGTGGTGGTGGTGATGAGAGTGTGGTGATGAGGAGAGGTTGGTGGTGGTGGTGGTGATGATGAGAGGGGAGGGAAGAGAGGCGGAAGACAGGAGGGAGGAGCACGGGGGGATAGGAAGGATTCAGAGTCGGCGGTGGCCACAGACAATTCACGTGATTTAAAGGAGGCCTGGGCTGATTTAGACAGATACATATTATTATTATTATCAAGCAAGAAACTAAATGAACAGACGATACACGTGCAAGGTGCGCATGCGTGCGTGTGTCGGGGCATGCTGGTCTCGTAGGGTTACCTCTCCCTCCATCCTGCTGTTGATGAACATCTCGATGAAGTTGTTGACGAGGTTGTAGAGCCAGCTGCGGAGTGATCGCACGGAGAGAGGGGGAAACGCGCGATGGCAGCCGGTCACTCCCCTCCACCACCACCACCACCGCAAGCGGTCGCGCGCTTCTTACAGAGCTTCGCGGTTCTAACCCGGCCGGCCGCCCCGGTCAACACTAGCGGCGTGAACCAATTAAACAGCCAACTCAACAGCCAATTCAACCGCGCGCTACCTGTTTCAACGGTGGATTTCTAAGCTCCCGTGACGTATTAAGCCACGAGCCTAAAGGGAGGGAACGGGAGTTGGAGACCACGTGGTGAAGCCTACAATGAGGGGAGAGGGGGGGCGAAGAGGGTCAGGAGGCTGGGAACGGGCGGAAAGAGGGGGGCAGAAACCCCCTCAGCCGTGAACCAGCGGGGAGCGGGATCCACGATTGGCGGGAGGTCGGCGCATCAGCCCATCCGGCGCGTGTCCATGATGTTACTTGCGGGGTCTTCCTTGACCTCAACCCTCCTCTATCGCGCCTTTCTCCCCTCGCCTCGTCGCCCGCTCTTACGGCTCAGTACAGTTTGTTGTCATAACGCAAATTGATGATTTTTATAACGGGGGAGGCGAATTTGGATTCAACGCGAGCAGGATAAAGCGGTCGCACGTCTGCCTTGGAGTCGCGTCCTCACGCGAGGCCTTGGGATGCTTCTAGATGCTGCCCACGCGCCTCACTCTATGTTCAGCCTGCGTAGGCACCTCACGTGTCCATGTTATTTATTATTTATTATAACGCGATTTAGTGTTCTTCAGGAACGCAACTGCTACCGCTTGATAAGAGAACAGGCTGTATGTACATTAGTTACCTCCCCCCCCCCCCCAATATAAAGGGAGCCACGGTGGCGAGGGGATGTTCACAATCTCGCCAGGTACACAGGAGGTCGTGGGTTCAATCTCAACCCTGACGCCTGCTGCTGCTGCTGTATATTTGGAGTCTGCGTCTTTCTCTCCCTCTCCCCGTGGTCGCGTGGATTTTTCTCCGGGTCCTCCGGTATTTCCCTCCACATTTAGAATCAACGTCAAGCGCTTAGAGCAGTGGTTCTTAACCTGGGTTCGATCGAACCCCAGGGGTTCGGTGAGTCGATCTCAGGGGTTCGGCAGAGCCCCCGCCACGGAGGTCCGGACACACTTGAATTATTGTGTAAATTTGTGATGACACACACGGCCCGCTTGGCCATCACTGGCTGCAGATGATCATGCTACACTGCTTGGCCAATTAGCGCTGCGGGGAATTTAGTGCGTACTCAGTAGTCAACGTGTGACTGTTGTTGTCGTACGTCGTGTGATTTCTTTAATATTTTATCCATACTAACTATGTCGGGCAAAAGAAGAAAGTGGTCGGACGAATATGTACAACATGGATTCTCATGTATCACGGAACGTGATGGGAGGGAGCGTCCTATCTGCATGATTTGCAACGCCAAGTTGAGCAACTCTAGTCTTGCACCGGCAAAACTAAAGGAACACTTCTTGAAGCTGCATGGAGACGGGGAATACAAGAACACAACACTTGCTGAATTCAGGGTGAAGAGAGCCAGATTCGATGAAAGGGCCACTCTGCCTGCTCTTGGATTTGTACCTGTTAACAAACCGATCCTGACAGCATCGTACGAAGTTGCTTACCTGATCGCAAAGCAGGGCAAGCCACACACCATTGGTGAAACACTTGTGAAACCAGCTGCATTAAAGATGGCGAATCTGATACTCGGAACAGCGGCCGAAGGTAAATTATCCCAAATTCCCCTTTCAAATGACACCGTCAGTGACAGAATAGAAGACATGAGTAAAGACATCTTGGCTCAAGTAGTCGCGGATCTGATTTCAAGCCCGGCAAAATTCAGCCTTCAACTCGACGAAACCACAGACGTTTCTGATCTAAGCCAGCTTGCTGTTTTTGTACGCTATGTGAAAGACGACATGATAAAAGAAGAGTTTTTATTTTGTAAGCCTCTTACAACAACAACGAAGGCAGCCGATGTGAAGAAGCTTGTGGATGACTTCTTCAGAGACAACAATCTTTCATGGGATATGGTTTCTGCAGTTTGTACGGACGGAGCTCCAGTCATGCTGGGAAGAAAGTCTGGTTTTGGTGCGCTAGTAAAGGCCGATGCACCACACATCATTGTGACGCATTGTATTCTGCACAGGCATGCGTTGGCAACAAAAACCTTACCTCCAAAAATGGCAGAAGTATTAAAAACTGTGGTGGAATGTGTGAACTATGTGCGAAAAAGTGCTCTGAGGCACCGCATCTTCAGTGAGCTGTGTAAAGAAATGGGCTCTGAATTTGAGGTACTTCTGCTCCATTCTAATATTCGGTGGTTATCCCGGGGACAGGTGCTGAATCGTGTTTTTGCCATGCGTGTGGAATTAGCCCTGTTTTTGCAAGAGCACCAACACTGCCATGCAGATTGCTTCAAAAATCCTGAGTTCATTCTCATTTTAGCGTACATGGCTGATATATTCGCAGCTCTCAATCATCTCAATCAGCAGATGCAGGGTGGTGGAGTCAATATCATGGAAGCGGAAGAACACCTGAAGGCTTTTCAAAAAAAGCTACCGTTATGGAAACGACGAACAGAGAACAATAACTTCGCAAACTTCCCGCTTCTGGACGACTGTGCAAGTAAGATCGAAGATGTGTCTGGAATCGGAGATATTTCTGTATCCACGGAACTGAAGCAAGCAATTGCCACGCACTTAGATGAGCTTGCAAAGTCTCTCGACGGATATTTCCCTACAAGAGAGTCATATCCAGCATGGGTGAGACAGCCGTTCACGTTTGCTGTTGAAACAGCAGATGTCAATGATGAATTCCTCGACGAAATCATTGAAATTCAGCAGAGCCAGGTTCAACAGCAACTCTTCAGAACAACAACGCTCTCAACGTTTTGGTGTCGACAAATGAACAAGTATCCAGTTATTGCTAAGAAAGCCCTGGATTTTTTTTATACCATTTGTTACAACATATCTTTGTGAGCAATCCTTTTCGAGGATGCTGGACATAAAAACGAAGAAAAGGAACAGACTTTGCTGTGAAAATGACATGAGAGTGGCACTTGCCAAGGTGAAGCCACGCATATCTGAACTGATCTCTCAAAGGCAACAGCAGAAGTCACATTGATTTCCAGGTATGTAATTTGTTGTGAGTTTATGCATTGTGTTGGTTTTATTCTTTGAACAAGGTAATGTTCATGCACGGCTCATTTTGTGTACCAGTAAAAAACATATCTATGTCTTGAATTTGAAAAAAATCACATTTTATTTTTCACTAAAGAGGGGTTCGGTGAATGCGCATATGAAACTGGTGGGGTTCGGTACCTCCAACAAGGTTAAGAACCACTGGCTTAGAGTATTCGGCTACTGCTGTACATTTCCACTTGATAAGCCAGGTCAAAGCCAGGTCAAAGCCAGGTCAAGGAGATAAATAGCTCAGTGGGCCTAAGCTGGTAAAATGAAAAATAAAATAGTTTCATTGCTTTTCGTTAAACCCCCCAAACAGCAGCATAGGCTCTCGCGACGCGACTCTAAGTGAGCCAGCCGTCTGGGTCCAAATTTCTGTTCCAAGTGTTTTTGTTAACCCAATTGATTAGACTTTTGTTGTGCGACATCGCCCCACGACCGCGAAGCTACCGCAGGCTGGGCAGCCTTGCGCTACGAGAACGATAACTTTTACAGCGAATGTACTTAAATAATTATCATGATTATCGTTGTGTTTACCCCCCAATTGTGCCGTTAAACACGCACGCTCCTGCTGCTGCTGCTCCTCGGGCATCTGCCGCCGCTGCTGCTGTGTTGACGATATCACTGATGGGAGCTTAGTGCAGTCCAGGTGGCGATGGAGCCACGTAGACGTTACTCCACACACAGCCCCAAACCACGAGGCCACGTTCTTAAAAACGAAACACCTTTTTTTTAATCCGACAGGTAAGGCCCACCGAGCTGCTGTACAGCTCTTGTTCAGAAGCGACCTGGCCACAAAAGGTGGCCCAACGAAGTGGCCTCATCACCTGGAAATGTCAAGCAGCCAAATACTCTGAGCGCGTGACGTGGATTCTAAACGTGGAGGGGAAGAGCGGAGGACGCAGAGACAAATCCACGCGACCACATCGAGAGAGAAACACAGAAAAAAAACTCCAAATACCCAGCAGCCGTCAGGGTCGCGATGGAACCCACGACCTCCTGCATACCAGGCGAGGGAGATAACATCTCTAGCCACCACGGCGCCCTTACCACTTGATGCCAGGCCGTGCCCATGGGCGTAGCGGTGGGGGTGGGGGGGGGAGATGCCACCCTCACCTGCCGTTGCCGAAGAAGCGGATGTCCGTGTCGTCCAGGTGGACGCTGCAGGAGACGCTGTGCAGGGACGGCCTCCCGTCCGCACCGCGGGACACGGACACGGAGGTGGACAGCTCCATGCCCGACACGGTCAGCTCGAACGAGCCGCGGTCTGAGCTGCGGACAGTGGGCGCAGCTCAGCGTCACCAGGGCAGCAGCAACCAAGCAAAGGGGGCGCCGCGGTGGCTAGGAGATGTTGACTACCTCGCCTGGTATGCAGGAGGTCGTGGGTTCGATCCCGACCCTGATGTCTGCTGCTGTATATTTGGAGTGTGAGTGTCTCTCTCTCTCTTTCCCTGTGGTGAGATGTTGACTACCTCGCCTGGTATGCAGGAGGTCGTGGGTTCGATCGCGACCCTGATGTCTGCTGCTGTATATTTGGAGTATGAGTGTCTCTCTCTCTTTCCCTGTGGTGAGATGTTCACTACGTCGCCTGGTATGCAGGAGGTCGTGGGTTCGATCCCGACCCTGATGTCTGCTGCTGTATATTTGGAGTGTGAGTGTCTCTCTCTCTTTCCCTGTGGTGAGATGTTGACTACCTCGCCTGGTATGCAGGAGGTCGTGGGTTCGATCGCGACCCTGATGTCTGCTGCTGTATATTTGGAGTATGAGTGTCTCTCTCTCTCTCTCTTTCCCTGTGGTGAGATGTTGACTACCTCGCCTGGTATGCAGGAGGTCGTGGGTTCGATCGCGACCCTGATGTCTGCTGCTGTATATTTGGAGTATGAGTGTCTCTCTCTCTCTCTTTCCCTGTGGTGAGATGTTGACTACCTCGCCTGGTATGCAGGAGGTCGTGGGTTCGATCCCGACCCTGATGTCTGCTACTGTACATTTGGAGTATGAGTGTCTCTCTCTCTCTCTTTCCCTGTGGTGAGATGTCGACTACCTCGCCTGGTGTGCAGGAGGTCGTGGGTTCGATCCCGACCCTGATGTCTGCTGCTGTATATTTGGAGTGTGATGTCTCTCTCGCTCTCTCTTTCCCTGTGGTGAGATGTCGACTACCTCGCCTGGTATGCAGGAGGTCGTGGGTTCGATCCCGACCCTGCTGTCTGCTACTGTATATTTGGAGTGTGAGTGTCTCTCTCGCTCTCTCTTTCCCTGTGGTGAGATGTTGACTACCTCGCCTGGTATGCAGGAGGTCGTGGGTTCGATCCCGACCCTGATGTCTGCTACTGTATATTTGGAGTGTGAGTGTCTCTCTCGCTCTCTCTTTCCCTGTGGTGAGATGTTGACTACCTCGCCTGGTATGCAGGAGGTCGTGGGTTCGATCCCGACCCTGATGTCTGCTGCTGTATATTTGGAGTATGAGTGTCTCTCTCTCTCTCTTTCCCTGTGGTGAGATGTCGACTACCTCGCCCGGTATGCAGGAGGTCGTGGGTTCGATCCCGACCCTGATGTCTGCTGCTGTATATTTGGAGTATGAGTGTCTCTCTCTCTTTCCCTGTGGTGAGATGTTGACTACCTCGCCTGGTATGCAGGAGGTCGTGGGTTCGATCCCGACCCTGATGTCTGCTGCTGTATATTTGGAGTGTGAGTGTCTCTCTCTCTTTCCCTGTGGTGAGATGTTGACTACCTCGCCTGGTATGCAGGAGGTCGTGGGTTCGATCCCGACCCTGATGTCTGCTGCTGTATATTTGGAGTGTGAGTGTCTCTCTCTCTCTCTTTCCCTGTGGTGAGATGTCGACTACCTCGCCTGGTATGCAGGAGGTCGTGGGTTCGATCCCGACCCTGATGTCTACTGCTGTATATTTGGAGTGTGAGTGTCTCTCTCTCTCTTTCCCTATGGTGAGATGTTGACTACCTCGCTTGGTATGCAGGAGGTCGTGGGTTCGATCCCGACCCTGATGTCTGCTGCTGTATATTTGGAGTGTGAGTGTCTCTCTCTCTCTCTTATTTCCCTGTGGTGAGATGTCGACTACCTCGCCTGGTATGCAGGAGGTCGTGGGTTCGATCCCGACCCTGACGATGCCTGTTTGGAATACGACGTTTATATTTATGCGATCTAACCCACCCCCTCTATTATGGATAATATTGGTCGTGAAAACCAACGTGTTAAGCTGTATATTTGGAGTTTGCGTGTCTCTCTCTCTCTCTCCCCCCGTGGTCGCGTGGATTTTTCTCCGGGTCCTCCGGTTTTCCCTTCACTTTGAGAACCAACGTCGCCACGCGTGTTTCAGTATTCGACTGCCGCTACAAATGTCCACGTGATGATGACGACGATGACGCGTCACTTCGTTGAGCTGCCATTTGTGATGGCCAGGCCGCTTCTGCAAAAGAGCTATTTATCAGCCCAGTTGGGTCTCATCTGGTCAAATAAAAACAAGGTTCATTGTCACGTGCTAACTCGTACGATACCTGTCAGCAGGCCCCTGAGGCAGTTGAGCAGCATGGTGAGCGAACTGTGTTCATTTTTTTAAAGCAGGAGACGAAGTCCTCTCTGCCTTCCCGCATCTGTCCTTCCACTTAAAAATGTCGACCGAGATCACGTTCCTGAGACCCGTTCGGCCTTCCACTTGTTCGTATCTCGAAACTCAACATTTAATTGCACGTAACGGTCGCTCGCCAACAATGCGTTACGCTTCAGCGAAAACGGGAGGCATTCATGAACTCTTCAGTAAGCAAAGCGTTGCACATTTGCATGTAATACCGTAATAAACACTGCGTAGTTAAATGAAACATAACGTAAATGAACGTGAAAATAAACAAATTAGATTCATTTTCACTCACCTTGAGTCAGCGTCTAGGATGCGGGGGTCTCGTTACGTCTCGCGGAGGATCGCCGAGCCCGTCGCTTCGTTCGGTTCGTGATGTGCGACCGAACGTTCGCGACTTGGGTGGTTAAACAGAACCTCACGACGGTTCGTTCCTTAAGTGCGGATGTTCGTAAGTCGGGATACGTATCTCGGGGACCGTCCGTAAACGGCGAGTCCTCACTTAACGCGTGGCGGTGTTCACATTAGAACGAACGCGTTAACGTGGTGATACACTAACTGTGGTGATACACTAACTGTGGTGATACACTAACTGTGGTGATACACTAACTGTGGTGATACACTAACTGTGGTGATACACTAGCTGTGGTGATACACTAGCTGTGGTGATACACTAACTGTGGTGACACACTAACTGTGGTGATACACTGTGGTGATACACTAACTGTGGTGATACACTAACTGTGGTGACACACTAACTGTGGTGATACACTAGCTGTGGTGATACACTAACTGTGGTGATACACTAACTGTGGTGACACACTAACTGTGGTGATACACTAACTGTGGTGATACACTAGCTGTGGTGATACACTAGCTGTGGTGATACACTAACTGTGGTGATACATTAACTGTGGTGACACACTAACTGTGGTGATACACTAACTGTGGTGATACACTAACTGTGGTGATACACTAACTGTGGTGATACACTAGCTGTGGTGATACACTAACTGTGGTGATACACTAACTATGGTGATACACTGTGGTGATACACTAGCTGTGGTGATACACTGTGGTGATACACTAACTGTGGTGATACACTAGCTGTGGTGATACACTGTGGTGATACACTGTGGTGATACACTAACTGTGGTGATACACTAACTATGGTGATACACTAACTGTGGTGATACACTGTGGTGATACACTAGCTGTGGTGATACACTGTGGTGATACACTAGCTGTGGTTAAACACTAACTGTGGTGATACACTGCGGTGATACACTGTGGTGATACACTAACTGTGGTGATACACTAACTGTGGTGATACACTAGCTGTGGTGATACACTAGCTGTGGTGATACACTAACTGTGGTGATACACTAGCTGTGGTGATACACTAGCTGTGGTGATACACTAGCTGTGGTGATACACTAGCTGTGGTGATACACTAACTGTGGTGATACACTAGCTGTGGTGATACACTAACTGTGGTGATACACTAGCTGTGGTGATACACTAACTGTGGTGATACACTAACTGTGGTGATACACTAGCTGTGGTGATACACTAGCTGTGGTGATACACTAACTGTGGTGATACACTGCGGTGATAGACTGTGGTGATACACTGTGGTGATACACTAACTGTGGTGATACACTAGCTGTGGTGATACACTAACTGTGGTGATACACTAACTGTGGTGATACACTAACTGTGGTGACACACTAACTGTGGTGAAACACTAACTGTGGTGATACACTAACTGTGGTGATACACTAACTGTGGTGATACAGTGTGGTGATACACTAACTGTGGTGACACACTAACTGTGGTGATACACTAACTGTGGTGTTACACTGTGGTGATACACTAGCTGTGGTGATACACTGTGGTGATACACTAACTGTGGTGATACACTAACTGTGGTGACACACTGTGGTGATACACTGTGGTGATACACTAACTGTGGTGATACACTAACTGTGGTGATACACTAACTGTGGTGATACACTGTGGTGATACACTAGCTGTGGTGATACACTAGCTGTGGTGATACACTAACTGTGGTGATACACTATGGTGATACACTAACTGTGGTGATACACTAACTGTGGTGATACACTAACTGTGGTGATACACTGTGGTGATACACTAACTGTGGTGATACACTAACTGTGGTGACACACTGTGGTGATACACTGTGGTGATACACTAACTGTGGTGATACACTAACTATGGTGATACACTAGCTGTGGTGATACATTAACTGTGGTGATACACTAGCTGTGGTGATACACTAGCTGTGGTGATACACTAGCTGTGATGATACACTAACTGTGGTGATACACTAACTGTGGTGATACACTGTGGTGATACACTAGCTGTGGTGATACTCTAACTGTGGTGATACACTGTGGTGATACACTAACTGTGGTGATACACTAACTGTGGTGATACACTGTGGTGAAACACTAACTGTGGTGATACACTGTGGTGATACACTAACTGTGGTGATACATTAACTGTGGTGATACACTAACTGTGGTGATACACTAACTGTGGTGACACACTAACTGTGGTGACACACTAACTGTGGTGATACACTAACTGTGGTGATACATTAACTGTGGTGATACACTAACTGTGGTGATACACTAGCTGTGGTGATACACTAACTGT